GTCCTCGAATCAAGTAGTCCCGGCCTATGAACCCCTGTTGCAAACCTTCTGAACATGCCGTCAGACTGCCCGATCATCACGAGACGGTGTGTGATGGAAATGCGGCGCAGTGAAACAGCGGCCCGGTTCGGTGCGAACGCCTCGGAAGGCAAGTGCGGCAAAGCCACTCTCATGTACCTTTCACTACGTGATCCCCCAATTTCACAATGTCCAAAAGCCCCCACCGCCCAAGACCTTCCCTCCCCGCCTCGTCCACGGACTTTGCCCTCCGAGCCTCTTCATCTCCCGTCCAATCACCCAGCGAGGACTTCACCAGCTTGAATTCCCTCCTCATTCGGTTTCGCCGTCCCAGTTTGCTTGCTCCTAAATACCTCTCCGATTCACGCCTATCAAGTCCATTGGCCACGTCATCTACTTCTCCGTTACGTCCCTCCTCGGCTTCGGACGTCGATCGCGAACGTATATGGGCGGACTCTGGCTCTGCCTCTGAGAGCTCGGAGAACGCAACGCCACCGCTGAACGGCAGCGAGGTAGATAAGGACCCAGGTACAGATAGTGACAGCGCAATGAAAACCAGCCGACCTCAGACCCCTCCACGCAATCCATCGTCGTCCAGCATGGACGTCATCGCCGAATCCTCACATATACCGCATCTTCGTCGCCTGTCGCATCCCGTACGTCACGTGACTTGCATTCCAGCGCATACAACTGACTGTTCTAGCTTAAGCTGCCGCGCATTCTGAATCTTGTCAGAGAATCTTCTCGCCCAGATGAAAATGAGGTCAAGTCAGAGGCACAATTTCAACGCCTCGTGGCCTCGTTTTCCGAGCTGCCGATGCAACCGCGCACCCCGCGGGCGCCCTCGGACAGGGGCCGCTATCCCGAAGAAGCTTCCGAAGAGCGGGACGTTCAATACTGCCAGACACCCAGCGATGACAGCGACTACGAAGAGACGGAGACGGATAGCATCCCGTTTCCTTTTCCACCGTCAACACAAGAGCCAATCACGATCAAGACACGCACTCCCACAGCCAGCGTGAGCGGGAGTTTGTGTGGTGATGATATATGTGCCGACAGCCCCGGCGCCGCAATGGACATTGACTTGGTCAGGGCTTTCCTTTTGTAATTTTGGATGTAATGCTGACACCATGCGGTCGTAGCCCCCATCTCTATTTGGCTCGCCCGCCGCAGCTTCACTTCATCAATGGAGATATACACCGCCCCCAACGGCATCTTCGGCCGTGCGCACAAGCAAACGAAAATGCAAGTCCTTTTGCCCTATCACCTCATCGCGTTGCTGACGCACCCTTGCGGATACAGATGATGATCGCTTTGATCCGTATCCGACTTCCTCTAAACGCCGTGCTGTCTCCCCCTCTGTCTCGTTCCTGCGCGAGAATCATACGTCTCTTTCCCCGATATATATCCCGCGCTCGGGCTCTTCATCGCGCGGCCCTATTCCCGTACCCATCACATCTTCTGCCACAGGATCTGTATCATCATCGCCAATCTCACACGGCGGAACCCTACCATTTGCGAGTCCCACGATGCGCGCATCGATGAACCTCGCAAGCCCGATCACGCGACCCATGCGTATGAGCAGGCGGGTGGATGGCGAAGATAGAGAGGTCGATGGGACTGGGGAGGCCGTCAATGGTCTCTCCCTCGCATGACCTTCATTTTTCCCTCGGCGACGCACATCATTCCATCTTGGGTTGTTTCTATTGCTGCAAGCTGTCGTTCCTATTCACTGTATCTTACGCATCATTGTACTCTACTGCACCGATTCATACAGTCAATCTGGTTGGTCTGCACCCGTCCCTTCTCTTCTTTCACCGTGCCTCTGAAGGAGTGGGTGTGTGCCTCGTATCTGTCCCAACTCTTGTAACCTTGTGAGAGCTGAGTCAACTAAAAGGCGAGCGCTCATTCTAGGTTCGCCTAGCTTTGCAAGCAAGCTACGCAAGCCCCACCGCAGTTTTGGAATCCGTGAAACTGCGATGGTACGCCGAACCAAATCAACACGTAAAAAAAAAAGGGGGGGGGAAAGTGGCGGTACACAAAGTGAGGGAAAAGGCCTTTTCATTATGAACTGGAATCGGGGGGCAGCGTAGCACCTGCAGCGCGGGCGACCTCGTCGACGCGTCGACGAAAAGACACCCACTGCGGGCTGCCGACTTGCAGGACGTGCTCATTCGGGGCGTCGAGCGGCGTATGGAGTTTAAGAAACGGGTTGGCCACAGCGCGGTAATACGCCATATGCAATGCCTTGAATATCTAAGGTATACGTATTGTTTTGGTTTGTTTGATTGTGGGCATCGCGCGTCAGGGGAGAGAAAGAGAGAGGGGTGGAGCGAAGGAAGAGAGTGCGCACGGAAACGATATCGGCGTCGCGCACGACGGCGTCGGTCAGCGCGAGGGCGAGGACGATCTTGAGTTTGAGCGGCGTCACGTAGCCGTACACGGCGACCTCCTCCAGCGCGTACAGGAAGCCGAGGTAGCTCTCTGTGGACGCTTTCGGTATCGCCGCCACCGCCGCGACTGGCGCGCCCCATTTATGAATGGTCATGCACGGAGGAAGGGGAAGCGGGGCTTACGGTGCTCGTCGATCACATCGAGGGCGGTGTGTGCGAGGTAGTTATATTTGAGGAGGTCGTCGGGCGAGCCGGAGAGCGCGCGCACGAGGATCGGGTGGTTCTGCGGGGAGATGAAGGCGACGGCGGTAAGGCCCAGGTTGAGTTGGCCAGCAGGCATCACGCGGAAGGGCCAAGGAGGAGTCGTGTTGTCGCTTTCGCGGTGTGTCGAGGACGGAGGACCTTCCTTTTCTGGAGGACCATCGGCGCTTGCCGGTACTGCAAACGCCCGTCTCGTCCTGCCATGCCCTCGCTCCAACCCGCACGCCTAACTAAAAAGCAGAAAAAGGCGACGGCCTTCCGGGAGCGCGGCGGCGGAAAGTTCAAGTCCAAGGGCAAGGGGGGGCCGAACCCCGCGTCCGGACGACGTGCACGACCATCGACTGGAGATAACGGCGAAGAGGAAGATGAGGATGAGGACGCTAATGCAGTACCTGCCATGGAGGATCAGGATCAAGCTCTGGTTGCGATGGCTGGAGATACGGAGGGCCGTGCGCGGGGCTATGGGGAGGGTCGTGCCGTTAGGGTTCCGAAGACTGCGGTGTCAATGGGGTCCACGGCGGCCCAGAAGAAAGAGAACGACGGACACAGCAAGAAGAGGCGGAGGGGTAATGCGGAAGAGGAGAGCGAGGAACGGCCGGCCTCGAAGAAGGCCAAGCCTGCTCGCCGTTCTGACAGGATACCTCCCGTGGCGCCCGACGAGGACGAGGACGAGACGGCGGGCATGACCGTGGACAAGGGTGGCGACGGCGAGCACGAGTCAGAAACAAAGAACAAGGAGAGCAAAGCACAGCGGTATATTCTCTTTCTCGGTATGTTTCCTATGCCCTTCCCTCCAATCACCAAATGAACGAGCTGAGTGATATGCGCTCGTCAAAGGGAACCTCAAGTACACCACAACCCACGAAGCAATTCAAAACCACTTCTCCCTGTGCGGTGCGTTCTCTCACCCACTTTCCAGCGTTCTATTGAAGTTCTATTGACCCACGACGATCCATGCCATAAACACCCACACGGTCACCCAACTCAGACCCGCCTCCGACGGTGCGCCTACTCACGCCGAAAGTCACGCGTGCAGGTGCGACAGTCGCCAAATCCAAGGGCTGCGCGTTCCTCGAGTTCTCGGCCCGACCCGCATTACAGGTTGCGCTGCGCTTGCATCAGTCTGAACTTGACGGTCGGCGGATCAACGTCGAGCTCACCGCGGGCGGAGGCGGCAAGGGCGACGCAAGGCTGGCGAAGGTCAAGGCCCGGAACAAGCAGCTGGCGGCACAGCGTGTGCGTCCTTTCTCCCATCTCACTGCTTCACTGCCTTGCCTACCACGGCCATTTATGTACTGAACCATTATTTGATAGACGCGGCGCACCGTCAAGGCAGTCACGGCACAGGGAAAAGATGCCTCACAGGACGAAAGTGTACAGCCACAGCGTTTCTCGACGACGTCAGGGGAAGGCGATGTACCGCACACGAAGCGTACATGGTCTGTCGGCGATGAGGACCAACGCGGTGAGCATCGCAGAAGGACGAAAGCCGGAAAGAAGCACGGCACACGGACGAAGAACTGGGGCACAGGTGTGAATGCGCTGCCTATTGGATAGCAATTCCTTGTGTATGCATGCGGGTCAGGCGCTTTCATACACTGCTCTTTTCCTACAGTTGACATCTTCATGGGGGCGCGGGAAGGGGCTTGAAAGACACGACGGGACCACGCGGTAGGCGGCCCCGGACTTCCGAAATGCTGGGTATTGCTGGTTTTGCTGGGGAGAGGGACACCCGGGTGCATCATGATGCCTTGGTTGTCATGTCTTTTCTCTCAAGTGCTTGTTCATCTTTGAACACTCTTCTCTAACAACTGAAACTGCGTCTTGCTCATTGTCCTCGTATTTACTATTTACTTTTTACTATCACCCAATTTCCCCTGTAGAAGGCTCGGAACTCTGCCCTCCACCACAACCAACCCGACGATAGAGTAGCATACGAGTACGAGGAAGACAAGAAGAAAAGACGGGTGGGTTCACCTTTATCCACTGAATCGCCGATGTCCCCGGAAAAAGGAATCTCAGGTGCGCTCCTAGACAAGGACCGGGAGGTGGGCATGCTTGAATAGCTTGGTGTCATGGAGGACCTTCATAATAAAGGTGATGGGGGTGACATAAGTCACATCGGTAGAATCAGTGGTGCCGCAACCACCGGTCAAGATACCACCGATGCGGCTGAATGCGTCAGCGATGCAGGACCCAGAGTCTCCTTTGGTGGAGAACACTGTGGAGAGGACAATGGGAAGAGCCCAAGTGAGCTCCCTGAAGACATACTCCTCCTTCACACTCCAGTAGCTGTCAATGGCATGTTAAAGCCTAATGTAGTGGGATTGGCCAGACTGGGGGTTGAACCCAGGCCTCCTTGGATATATACCAGGTGCTCCAAGTCTACCACTGAGCTACCTAGCCATGGGTTCTTCTCTTGGGTTTTACATGATCACATCTTCACAACTGTGTTGCCTGAGGATCCTGCAGCACACTGAGTGGTGGTAGGAGATGTCCATTTGTAGAAAAGGGGGCAGATACCAATAGGTTGGACAGAGTTGGGGGCTGGGATGTGGGTGACATCTAGTTGGTTGCAACAACTATAGAGTGGCTTTGCTCTTCTCACAGTCGGTCGTGCCTGACGACGTGTTCCACGACAATGTCCAGTAGTAGGTGTGGATCGCCCAAGCGTCCATGGACACGAGAGACGCGCACCGGCTTGGGCATCGAATCGACGGCCTTGGCGACCCCAATGTTGGATCAATGCCTCGGCTGTCGTAACGTTCCTGCTACAGTATATTAGGCTCTTTGCGGATGGGGATTCCGTGGAGCCGATATCTGCATATGCCCTCGACTTCATTGCGAGAAGGGAGTGAGAATTGAAGCCGAGGGTGGATGCAGACAGTATCAGTTTGAGCCACGAGAGGGTTCCGAGTTCCAACGGAACGGAAAATCAGTATTACCCGGTTTACCCCAAACTACCTCCGCCAAACCTGCCATTTGCTTCATCCTAATCCTCCGCCTGAACGACAATCCTACCCAGAAGTCAACGCCGGAATGGTCACCAGGACAAACAATGGTGGCGGCGGCCTTAAAGGTAGTATGCCACCTCCGCAAGACGATGGAACACGTGCAAAGTTTGCTAACGTTGTCTACAGATGCTATTGAATAGTCAACCGGAAAATGAGCCCATTAAGAACACATGCCCGCGTACCTCATTATGCACCGGATTCCTCCGGCGGACCAAATATCAACTGGGCAAAGGCCCAGATGCAGGGGTCAGGACGCAAGGTACCATATTGCGATAACTATGGATGATGGACAACCTCGGGACCTAGCTCGGGACCATTCACGCACTTCACAACGATGGCCGGAATAGTCCAAGAACATCAGATCTGGTCCTGCCATGCCCACGCACCAACCCGCGCGTCTAACGGGAAAGCAGAAAGGGGCGACGGTCCTTCCGGGAACGCGGCCGCGGAAGGGCAAGCAGGAGGGCAAGGGGCCCAAACCCTGCGTCTGGACGACGCGCATGACTTTCGACAAGGAGATAACGGCGAAGACGAAAGATGAAGGCGACGATGAGGGCGCTAATGCGGTACTTGCCATGGAGGACCAGGATCAAGCTCTGGTTGCGATGGCTGGAGATACTGAGGGCGGCTCGCAGGGCCATGGGGAAGGTCGTGCCGCTAGGGTTCCGAAGACTGCGGCGTCAATGGAGTCCACGGCGGCCCGGAAGAAGGAAGAAGAGGCGGAGGAGTAATGCGGAAGAGGAGGGCGAGGCACGGCCAGCCTCGAAGAGGGCCAGTGCTCGCGGTTCTGACAGGATTTCACCTCCCGTGGAGCACGATGGAGACGAGACGGCGGACATGGCCGTGGTCAAGGGTAGCGATGGCAAGCAGGGGCAAAAACAAAGAACAAGGGAGAGTAAACGCACAGCGGTATATTCTCTTCAAGTGCACAGAAGCAATCCAGTACCATTGCTCCCTGTGTGGTGCGTTTTCTGACCCACTTTCCAGCGTTCCACGAGCCATGCCATAAACGTGCATAAAGACTCACACGGTCGCCCAACTCAGACCCAACTCTGACGGTGCAACGCCGACAGTCACGCGAGCAGGTGCGACAGTCGCCAAGTCCAAGGGCTGCGCCGCGTTCGTCGAGTTCTTGACCCGGTCCGCGCTACAGGCTGCGCTGCGCTTGCACCAGTCCGAACTCGACGGTCGGCGGATCAACGTCAGGCTCACCGCGGGCGGAGGGAAGGGCGACGCAAGGCTGGCGAAGGTCAAGGCACGAAACAGGCAGCTGGCGACGCAGCGCGTGCGTCCTTTCTCCCATCTCAGTCTTGCCTACCAGATGCCAAACAGGACGAAACTGTGCAGCCACGTTTCTCGACGACGTCAGGGGAAGGCGATGTACCGTGCACAAAGCGTACATGGACTGTCAGCGATGAGGACTAACGCGGTGAGCATCGCAGAAGGACGAAAGCAGGAAAGAAACGCGGCACACGGACAAAGAACTGGGGCACTGGTGTGAATGCGCTACCTATTGAATAGCAATCCCTGGTATATCCGTATATGCATGCGAGGCAGGTCTATACGAGGTGGTCCATGGTCCATAAGATGCATGTGAATGAATATATACAACCGCTGCAAGGCGCAGCCACAGCCGGAACAATTTCATCATGATACTAAGATAAAAATCAAAAACTACAAGCACGACAGTTAGCTGTGGATCCCCGCAAGTGTCACAGAAAGACGCACGAAAACGATGAGAACGCCAAAGACTTTGAGCATGAGCCACCGGTTGCTTGAAATGCTCGCATAGTACTTGAGAAGCTCCCGCTGCGCGCCGCCGACGTTCGATGCAATGTCGAGTGTGTCGGCGTCGATCCTCTGAACCGTCTCACGCTGCTCTGCAACCATGTGTGCGAGCTGGTTAAAGATCTGGCCAAGTTCCGCAATTGTAGTTTCAATCGACTCGATGGCAGTGGAACGCGATTGAATGTAGCTATCCTGCATAGCCAGTATGGTCTGGTCGGTGGACGTACTGGGGACGAGGGGTCGGACGTACCTGCTGCTCTACGAGTTGCATCTGCTGAAATGCACTGCTTCCACCATTTGGCACCCCAACACCGCCTTCGGCATGTTCGAGATCAAGGGCGAGCATACCATTATTGGGTGTTGCTCGCCCCTTTCCCTTTGAATCAGACCGGCTAGAAGAACCGTCACCCATGGGGTCCTGGCGCTGTGTGTTCGAAAATAGGAACGAGTCTAGAATGGGAATGGGTCGGGTCAGTCCGGAGAAGAAAGACTACCGTATGAGTGAAAACTGACTCGCTGGTGCTTGGTTCGCCGCAGTCGCTGCGGAATACATGAATTGTTCTGTCCGGTCTTTTGATTCTTTCATGTTCTAGTTCCGGTAGATGTAAGACTTCTTTTGAAGGATTGCCGATAGAATAGTATAGTAGTTCATACCTGGGTCCGAATTTCCAGCACATCTTTGAATGTCATGCTGGTCTCTGCTAGCTTATTTTGCAGTAGTACGACAACATTGTGGTTGTGTTCCTCAACCTGCTTCTCCTCGGCCGACTTGGAACCGCCCTGTGCTTTACGTTGCTTAATGTCTGCTTGTAGGGCGCCGATCTGCTTGTTGATACTCGCAATGTCTTGCTTTATAACGAAAGTAAGTTCCTAAAGGTCATTTTTGTAGATTTCATGGAGAGATGCGCAGCAAAGTGGATGCCGCGTACGCTGATTTCGACTGGCCGGTCATCAAACAACGTTTTCCGTTTTGCCACTACGATGTATGAGCGTTGGTGAATGACAGCGACGAAGTGGATATGGGTGCTCACATTGTGCCAACTTGCCGAGCTTGATGGTTGTGCTGCTGATGTCTTTGCCGATCGTGCTGGCCATGCGGGTAAACTCGCCTTTACTGTCCACGCGTGCTTGTTTGTCAAGTAGACGCTGCTTGGCGGAATTTTTCGCGGGCAAGGAGGAACGGCTGCGAATGGACTCCACGCAAGCATGGAATTCGTTTGTACGGTCTTGTAATGGCATGGTGAAATAGATAAGATTAAGGAGATGGTAAATGGTAAACGGGGGGAGAGAAACGAGTGTGGGTGTCTGTCTTTGTTGCTGTCAGCGGTCGTGACAGTCTGTCGGCCTAAGCAGCGCCTGTCACGGTCCGCCCTAATTTAGCGAAATGGAGGTCACACCGGGCACAGGAAGAGTGCACGAGACCAGGTCAATGAGCGGAGCGGAGCGCCACCGAACTGCCGTATGTCAAAAAGTTTGGCATTCTAGACTTCTCCAACTGTCGTATGCGCCTTCCTTGTAGGCTCTTAAGGGCACGAACCCCACAAAATTTGCCCCATTTCCCCCACAAACATTTCTTCCTTAGTTACTATCCTCGTCAACTGGCCCCGCTCACTCGGTTTTCCTTTCCCTCACTGACATCGAACCTCGTCTATACTCCCGTTAGACACACCCACGTATACCGCCGTGCTCTCACGATGCCGTCCAGTTCACCATCCCCTAAAAGCAAAGTCCTCATACTTGGCGCTGGAAACTTTGGCAGTTGTCTCGCGGACCACCTCGGTGATTCTGATCATGAAGTCTTCATGTGGTCGCGTGAGAAGAGGGTTGTCGAGTACTTCAATGAGCACCACAGAAACCCACATTATCTCAAGGATCATTCATTCCCACACACTATTTGTGCGGTGGGACCTGATCTTCCGGGTGCAGGCTTCGTCAAGGGGATGGACGTCTTGCTATTCGCCGTGCCCACTCAAGGACTCAGGTGCCCTTTTTCCCGCATACACCTATCGGGCGCGAATATGTACGATTTTACCTAGGGAACTGTTGACAAAATTGCGTCCGAGCCTTGACGATGCGAATCTTCCTTTACTCATCTTCGTAAACAAAGGTATTGAGACCAATACCAATGCTCTCACACTCGAAATTATTGCGGATACCTGTGGTAAAGACATTGCCAGGGTCTCAACTTTCCTTGTGAGCTGGAGACAGACCTGGACGCCAATTTTTTATCTCTGAATTGATTGCTTTCCCAGTCTGGACCATCATTCGCGACAGAAAGTAGGGCGTAGAGCACGGTAATGGAGTCCACGCTGACAAGTCTGGTCTTGTGTAGTCATAAGGCGCCAACCAACCATGGTTTCCATAGCTTCACTGTCGGAAGACCACGCTGAGAAGGCGTCACTCATCTTTCATCAGCCGTGGTTCCGCTGGTTTGTCCATCCCTGTTTGGTACATGGGGAGCTTGGTCTGAAAAGTGCCTGTATAGCTACGCAGGCAATGACCCAATTGGGCTCGAGCTTGCAGGCGCTCTTAAGAACGTGTATGCCATTGCGTCTGGTATGGCGGAAGGGTTGGGGTTCGAAAATAACACGAGGGCCAGTGAGT